CGTTCAGGCACAACACACCGGGATCATGACAATATCATAAACAATAATATAATCATCAAATAAAATCATCATGACATTCTTATGATGCATAACTTCCACTCTTGTGTCGTGCTTATCACCTGATAACTAGTGTTCGATTATAAATATATATTATACATCATTATTTGCTATTATCATTTCATTTGTCACCGTGAATAAAGCATTGTATGTAAATAACATACACCATTCTTATTTGACGTCATTTTTGCATACAACAAATCTGTTTTCGATGGCTGCGTTGGAGCTGTCGCCGCTTTACAAGCGCGCCACCCTCGCCTCAACACGTGAAGCATGGAAGGCGAGGGCCGTGGTATTATTAATTGGATTATTCGCCAGCTGGCGACGCATGGTGGCGCTAGTAGAGCTTGCTACGTATCAATGGTAAATATAAAAGAATAAATACCCACCTAACAATTTATCTTTTAAAGCCATTTTAAATGTTTATGTTCATCCTACTACCTTGCTTATATCTATATATTAATCATCATTGTCGCCTTTTAGGCTATCGCAAGGCTATCGTACGTCGCCAGCTGGCCAGCCAGCTGATTGCATCCAGTTCTTAACAAGGCCCGGGGGAGAGAGTGGAGACAATTGTTTTGAGTTGCATAATGCATATTTCGATTGAATTTCGCAGAATTAAGGATTCAAGGAGATTACAAATGTTATTTACGTTTAATTTTACTACTTTGTAGCGAATTGTGGAAAATATCCACAACAGAAGAATGAAGTCATGCTTCCCTGTGGTAAGTTACATGAGGAATGGTTGCTTAATGCTTAACTATACTTAACTTCATGGAACAGCATCAACCACTGTTGATAATTGGTGTAGTAATGCTAACTTTTTTACATTATGTGGTATATTGATATGTTTTGGATTTGGAACATAACATACTCAAGTTGTCACTCTCAAAAAACTTAAGCTAGCAGAGTGAACAAATCTCCACCTTCCTTCCTCACTTGTTCATGTAGGGACTGAAACCAAGATGATAATGCTTGGCCCAGTTGTCAAATGTCAATTGTTCTTCAGGTACAGTTGCATCATTGATGGATATGCATTGTCACATGTCTTTTTTCTGACTTATCTAACAAGGAGAATCAAATAATCAATCCTGGGTGACTGTATATGTTAGTTAACCAAGATTGACTGTAACATTTGTAATTGCTTGTCAAAATATTACATTATATGTGGATACCCTGAGTTAACAGATGAGTACATATGAAATGAAGATGAAATATTTATCAATTCTAAGTCCAACCTTCCTATCTTTGCACATAAACACAACTATGCCTTATTCAGGTTACAGCTGCATGTGCTTTTACTGATTACTCTATTGAGTGAGCATCTTCATGAACTGTTGGCCCGGCCCGCTGAGGGCCCGTTGATTCCTCCAAATTATTGGCCCGGCCCAGCCCATAGCCCAGCCCGGCCCATGGCCCGTTGGGCCAGCCCGGCCCGTGGCGAACACTGGTGCTCAACCACTGAGCTCGAGTACGGATCACGTATACCCGATAACGGCCGTGTCGGCGTGCGGTTGTATCCGGGGAGGATCCGCGCCTGTATCCGGGGAGGATCCGCGGCCGTCAGGCTGTGTGTAGGTGTGTGGGGAGGGGAGGAATGTCCAGAATGGGGGCGGTAGCTGCCAGTCAACGGTATAGTCGACTACAGAATGATGTTCCACTCCTCAGAAGCTATCAGTTGACCGGAGCGCTAAGTTGTGCCGTTTATCACGCAATTAAGCGTGTCGATTGTGAGCATTGGGACAAAGCTATAATTTGTGAACTCAGCCCATGTGATGCGGCACAGCCTACCACTCCAGGCAAGAAGTTGCCTGTGAAAAGTGGAACATCATTATGTAGTCGACTATACACTGATAGCAGACATACCTAACCACCCACACTGGCCGAGACGCCGGACGGAGAGCCGGCGCAGCCCCACTCCGCTGAGCAGACTCTGACCAGCTCGCACCCCGAGGCGACTCCCGATGGACTAGCCGAGCAATGACCAACTGGAGGGAGGGAGCGGGTAGACAGCTCCACAGCGGGCCACCCATATCACCGAAAAATGAACGCAGACGAAAGTCCTCGGCACCGCCGCAGCTGGCACCACCCCCACCACGTAAAATGGATCGTGGATGATTAAAATTCTAAAAAGAAGTCGAGCTGGCGCGGTCCGAGTGAGACGAGTGACGGCGGTAAGCGCCGCCGACTGAATGGCGCGAGTGAGGGATGACGGGGCGCTGTGGCGGCGCTGAGGGGGCTCGTTTTTGGCGGGACGGTCACTCAGAGGCCGTCCGAGCTATGACAGATGGGCGCGGCGCTGCGCCGCGACCTCATGGAGCGAGGCCAAGGCCGGCCGGCCGGCCGGCCGGGGCTCGTTATTCGCGGTGTCCGCGGCGCGCCGTCCGTCCGTCCGTCCGTCATCCCGCCGCTGATGGGCCGCCAATGGCCGGCCGACGGCCGTCAATGGGGCGCCAATCGGGCGTCATTGCCGCTGTGTGTACTGAGTCAGCACGCCGGCAGTCAGGAGGGCGACAGGCAGTAACGAGGCGGACAGCGGCCGTCCGCACCGCTGATTGGTGACGCGCTGCAGATTGTGGATGCCTGCAGCTCCACTGCGGAAGGCTGTTCCGCTGCGGACTGCTCCACTGCGGAAAGCTGTTCCGCTGCGGACTGCTCCACTGCGGAAAGCTGTTCCGCTGAGGACAGCGGCTCCGCTGCTGGATGTGCTCTGTGTCTGCCAGCGACAGCGGAGCGGTCGTGCCGCCCACAGCTGGCCCGTACTGACAGACACCTGCGGACCGATCATATAGCCGATCGACGAGCGTCCGAGCTGAGCCGACCGACGGCCCACCAGCCGCCGGGACCGGTTGCACCCACCGACACGGAGCTATAGCTGACGGCTGACGGCGCAGCGCAGGCGAGATGGGACACGTGGACTAACGACAACTGGAGGAACAAGGTGTGACTGCAGGTGTTCCCCGGGATAAGGCCCCAGATAGAGCAGCGGTCTGCAGTCCGAGGAATAAAACAACAGCCGCGTCAGGTCACAGCTGGCGGGCCTTGTGCGCGCTGTAGGTCACTATAGTGATTCAATAAACCCAGTCGGGCGATAACTAAGTAACCATTACAGCAAAAACAATGCAAACCTGGCCCCACAAGTGCACAAAACACCCGCACAAAGGCCGGCTCATCCCGGCCAGCCTCGCACTGCGCGGCACAGCCGTGTACCGCCCGCGGTGAAATGATGGGGCGGCCTCACAGACGGCCAACAAAAACACTCGGGCTGTTCAGTACCGCGGGCCGCGCTGTCACCACAGCTCTGTGTGCAGCTCAGAGCCGCTGCCGTGACAGCTCTCTGTGGCTCAGAGCTGCCGCGCTGGACACAGAGAAGCCCCGGGACTGGGCCGGCCCGTCCCGCACCCCTCCCCCTGTCTGCCCGTCGGCCGGGGGTGTCAGTTTCGCGCGGCGTGACGCCGCACTGGCAGCAGCGGGCGAATGCTGAGCCGAGCGGCACGTGCCAGCGCCGGGGCCGGGGCCGGGGTCGGGCCGCCGCTCCCCGCCCAGACACAGACGGCGCGCCCCACACATGTGTCCGCCACCGGGGAGGGTGACGTGTCGCCGACAATGTGTGTCAGAGTGTGTCATTCGGCGTGTCAGTGGGCGACGCGCCCGTGACACATACCGCAAATATGTGATTCATAGACAGCCAAAGATTGAGCTCCTGTCAGAAGCGCCGCTACTATCAGGTGAAATACCGGCGTCAGGTCAGCGCGATAAAGGAGGCGGCTCATCGTGGCACGCCAGCAGTGTTCGGGGCGCCAAATACCGCCGGAACGTGTCAAGGTCAGGGACGCGGTGGGTGGCAGTGCCGCTCCACTAATAACGGGTCCCCGAGTCCATATTTTCCGTCCTAACAGCACGCCATACCGGCTCCAGCGGTGGATTAACCGGTGCACAGCAACAGCAGCGCTGATCTGTTCGGCGCAGACCAGCCCACGATCGGAGCCATCGGCTGGCAGGCGAGCGTATAGTCCCCCCCCCCCCCGCTCCCCCCGGTGACGGGTGAATGTCCGCGCTGTCCGGCGGCGGGCGGTCACCATCCCCTCCCCCTCTCCGGGTGACGGGTGAATGTCCGATCCGAGCTGTCCCGGACGGTGGACGGCAGTCAATCGGCACCACTGCGCGACCACCAATGGCTCACCACTCGGCCGTGACAGCCGTCGAGCGGGCCCCGGGGACGACCCCGCCCTCCGCTCGCCTGCCGCCGCGCGCCGGACTCGTCGCCGGAAATGGTCCGCGCAAAACCCCGGTCTAACGGTAAGGCTTACTCAGCTGCACGATTAGATAGGTTATCCGTCTCGACGGGCGTGGACGTCGGCCGGCCGACGCCCGTCGCTGAGCCGGCGATAGGTGCGGCGCCGCGCCCTCCGTGCCCGCTCCGACCGAAACAGCAGCACGCAGCGCCGCACCGCTCCGGTTTCAGCGCCGGTGCGTCAGACTCGCCGCAGGTGCGCAGTGTATGACGTTACGGCCGCCCCTCCCCGGCCGGAGGCCCGCGACCGTACCGTGGCAGCGGCGGGCCCGGCGGGGCTGGCCCACTGCACACCGACTGCCACCGAGCCGGCCGTGCGAGCCGTGCGCCGTGAGCCGCTCGGGCTGATGCCGCTACGGCGGCCGACGGGCTCAGCGGTGTCGGAAGGTAACGCCGTCCAGGCACGCGGAGCATACACTGCTTCATGACGGGGCACAAAGAGCAGAAAACCGCGAGGGTACGTAGAAACCCGCTTATACGAAAACGTTCCAGTACATAATCCTAAATAAGTGATATGGTTAGACCTTTCAGACGAAACGGTGACAGCCCGTGACTCGGCGTCACGGTCGAGATAATGACGATGTCGCTAGGTGCGTTGCCACGCGCCTGCCGCGCCAGGGCGGGGCGGGGCGCTGGTGGTTCCACATACCTGAGCGCGGCAGAGACAGGTAGCGGTGCGGAGCGCGGTGGCCGGCGGACGCTCGCGGCCCGTCGCCGTCTCCGGGTTGAGCAGGCTGGCGGCGCTGGCCGAGTCGGCCGGCCGCGCCGGCGAGCGGCGGCCGTTGGCGCCCTCCAGTGTGGGGGCTGAGGCGCGGCCCGGCTTCACCCAGGTCCTGCGCTGGCCGCCGGCGCCGCTGCCACTGGCGCCGGTCAGCTCCGAGTACTGATAGTGGCGCGCCGCCATGTGGCCACTATCGGGCACAGAGGCCGGCCGCCGGGCGCGCTCGGCCGCCGCCCGCGCGCCGTCACTGAAACACTGCGCGCCGCCCGAGCACTGGAAGCACTGCGCCGAGTGCGACTCGGCCGGCCCGTACGCGCCGTTGGGCACGGAGCGCGGCCGCGGCCGGGTCGCCGCCGGAAGGGTGCCGCCGCCGCCGGGCCGCCACGGCTCGGCGGCGCGGCCGGCCGGCGCCACCAGCGGCGGACTGCGCACCGCCACCGGCGGCGCCCGCACGGACGCCGGCAGAGTCTGAGTTCGCCGCTCATCGGCGCCGTCCGCTCGACCCCGCGCCGGCGGCGGACACACGGGAGGACACACGGGCGCCGGAACCACCGGCGGCGGCGGAGGCGGCGGTGGCGGCGGTGGCGGCGGCTGGTGCTGCTGCTGCTGCTGGCGCCCGGGCGCGCTCCGCGGCCGCGGCCGGGGCGTCGAGTCGTGCAGTCGCTCCGGAGACCCATCGCAGACCAGGACTGTGGGCCGGAACTCGACCCGTTTGCCGGGCATGTCGCGCGGCTGCCGCGGCCGCTCCCAGCTGAGGCGGCGGCCGCCGTCGGTCAGCTCGGCGGACGCACCATGGCACCGGAGGAGCGCGCGCCGCCGGCTCCTCACACCGACCGCTCCTCGGCTCTTCTGCCGCCGACGCCGACGGCCGTCGGAGCGGCCGACGGCCGTCGGTGGCGACGCCTCGGGCCGCGGCGGCAGAGGCGGCGGCGTATTTTTACCCGGCGCCGGCGGCGGCCGGGCAGGCGCGCGACGCCACCGCCGACCATTAGTCGGCGCCCAGGTGTCGGTTTTTGTCGCCGCGCACAGACCGGCAAATTGCCCGGAGCGATTGCGCCGCGCCGCGGCCGGGTCGGTGGCCGAGCTCTCGGTGTGTGTACCGACTGAGGTCGGTGGCGCCGGCGGCTGTCGGGAGGCCGGCCGTCCGGCGACCGGCGGCAGCCGCGACACGCCTACGCCCATGGACTATATCAATACGACGGCGGACCGTCGGAGGCCGCCCCCGCCCCCGCCCCCGCTCACCGCGCCGGAGCTGCCTCTGCGAACGCCGAGCGATCGACGGAGCGCCACCCTCTCAGGTCCTAGCAGCTGAGCCGCGCGCGCACCAAAGGCCACGTCCCGCGTAATTTGACCACCTCGGCATTTCGGAACGTGAAGTCGGTCAGGGTGAAGGTATCCGGACGGTGTGGCCGGGAGCGCCGGCCGGCCGCTGATCAAAGGCCGTCCGTCTGTCAAGGTGGTCGGTCAGTGCGGATCGTGGCTGATCCGGCGCGCCCGGAGCCAGTCGCCGGCAATTCGCCGCTCAGGCCCAGATCAAACGAGCCGGCCCGCCACCGCTGCCCCAGGGCTGGCCCGACATGCACACGCTATCCGGGGAGCCGCCCACTTAAAATAAGCACACATCCTGGAGAACGGTCCGCATTTAGTGCAAACGCTTCAATCATTCATGTCTCAATAATAGTAGAGAGACCAATCACAATCAGCGTCCAGATGAGTGATCTCAGCTCAAAACAAAACTCTCGTGTACGGCGACTGTGAGTTTGAAGCAACAGCCAGAGATGGCATAATTAGCCGTAATAAACTCCTAGATCTTTACCATACCAAAAGCACTGCATTGGCAAAATAATCCCTTATACTTCTTCCACGTAAAAATGGGAGACAAAAACCACGATCAAGATAAAACAGGCAAACAGTTTCCATAAAATCTCCACCAGCTTTGTCAGACAGAAATGTGAATCCATTCAGCGATAAACTCAACCTAACCCTCCGCACAAACTGTTAAAGGGGACGAGTGAGAAACCATACCCTTACTCCGCAGAATCGGAGAGTGGAGTTCACAGTTCACGCAGCAAAATGTGTGCAGCGTCCCATCTCCGGGCGGGACGACGGGGATAGGAGGTCAGAGTCGGGACACATGTTCGACCAGGCCAGGGGGAGAGAAATGCGTGCTCCCGGCGCGCCGACAGGACAGAGTCGAAGATACTGCTCCCGGCCGGCGGACAGAGTCGGGAGCGGACAGAGCCGCGGTGACGATCGATCGGCCATACAGCACCGACAAGGAGGACGCCACAGCTGGCGACACCCACGGCTGGCGACTCCCACAGCTGGCGATACCCACAGCTGGCGACTCCCACAGCTGGCGACACCCACGACTGGCGACTCCCACAGCTGGCGACTCCTAAAGCTGGCGATACCTAAAGCTGGCGACTCCTAAAGCTGGCGACACCTAAAGCTGGCGACACCTAAAGCTGGCGACTCCTAAAGCTGGTGACTCCTGCAACTCCTACGCCTCGTTCCATACCTGCGACCGTGGCGCCCTGAGCTAGATAAGCCTGCCCCCGACCTGAGACTGGCGCCCCGTTCCCGACCTGCCACCGACCGGGGGCACCGGCGGCTGATTAACGACTTCTCACCGCCGCCGCTGGCGCCACGGCGCGCCTGTTAAGTGCGCTTCCGGCGACCGCGCGGCCCCTGACCTGGGCAGGCGCGTCGGCCGCTGTCAGACGTCAACTGCACTCCGTTCCCGCGCCGGTCCCTTTTTGCCGCGGCGTCCGGCGGCGCTGGGCGCCCAGTTTGGCTCCAAGCTGAGTTCGTCCACCCGAGCGCCTGCTCAGTCGGACTGACGGTCGGGCTGACGGCCGGACTGACAGCCGGACTGACAGTCGGACGACAGAGGCGTCCTGTCCGGGTGGCCGAGCCAGGATTTAAGGCCGGCCAGTCACCTGTTCGCGCCACTGAACACTGTCACAGTGTCACAGAGCTACGACCGACTTGCGGCACTCGAAAGCAGCTGTTTAGACGTTTAGAGAGCCACCCTCAACCAATGACAATATCACCTGCTAGCCACCACAACCCACCACCTACCTACCGGCCCACCGTCTACCGCCCACCGTCCGTCCACCGCCCACCGTCCCCGGCTCCCCGGCGCCGGGCCTCCCCGGCCGTCCGTTCGGGTCTCTGGGAGCGGCAGTCGAGTTGATTAACGTGTCGCGGTCGCCGACTCCGGGGGCCTTTAAAACTGAGCGATACGGACTCGGCGCATTTTTCACAGCGCCAAACGGAGCAGCAGAGAGCCCTATCAACTTTAGGGTCGAGCCGCTGATCTCTTCCGGACCAAATAGGAATAGTAAAATTTTAAAATATGGATGGAAAAGAAATTCGCTGAGGAAATTATCAAAGACCTGCAGGAGGCTTCCGCAACGCATAGGGTCTCACAAGGTGAAAGACGATACGGTATTTAAGAAATATACTGGAATTCCAGATGTTGCTCGGCACCCCGCCGCGCTGCAGGACGGAGTCTGCCCCGTTCTGTATCTTTTAAACATTCAAGGGTCAGCTATCTTATAGCTATAATATTTCATCTACAGCTATCTTCACGTAACAAAACTGAAGTGATTAGGTCAAGGCCATAAATGATTGGTATCTTCACATAAAAATTGCGGTACCCACATGGTTCCTACGCCTTCCCTGTAAAACTCTTCGCAAAATCCGCCGCTAAATAAGGAAACGTTTCATTTACTTCATGTCATGCCATGTTTGGGCTAAAACCGAAAAATGCAGATAATAAACTAACATTCACATTTCAAATTAGTAGCTGGAATATTCTAAAATTATGATGTTATTCCTTTTTAATACCTTTTCTGTTCGGCTGCAAAACTATAACATCTAGGTAATTTTGTCTACATGGTCAAAACACGGAAGACATCAAGATGTAGGCAGGGTTTATAAGCACTTGCATAGTCTTGTTTTCAGATAAAGTAACTCGAAAACTCCCGAGGTAAATGCGGTTGAAGTGGAGTAACGGCTAAAAAAAATATCAACAACAATATACATAGATATGATTTCATGAGTTCCAGAAATCGTACAATGATTATGGCACCTCGACATAAATGGAAAATGTGCTAAAAATATCCGTATTGTTGAGAGCTTTCCACCCATATACCACGTCTCTACGACTATTTGTTCGCACGGGTAAGGGGAGCATAATTTGACCCCCGTTCGGCCGAGTCACCTGGCCCGCCCTTGTATTGCGCATTGCACACGCTGCCTTCGACCGCATGGCCCGTTGCAGGCGTCCGGTGCACCGTGCACCACCACATCCGGTGAACTGTGCACTAACTATGCACAATAGCTGTACGGCGCAGCAACGGTGGATTCAGCTTCCGTCACAGCGCAGCGCTGCAATGTCGTCAACCGGACCCCATTGGGACCACAAACTAGACCCCGTGGTTAACCGCTAAATGGATCATTTTGGTCACGCATGGCTCTAGTTCCCTCCGCGGCGGCCCGGGTGATCGCCTGGGAGCCGCCTCGGCGCGATGCTGACGCCTCATATCGTAACAGTGTAGCTCTCAAACATGGTACCTACGTAGGAAGAAAACAGCCGAGAGCCGCCGGGCTGGAGCGGTGTCAGGGACAGGTCCTGGGGGAGGCTGGGGCTGGGTGAGGGCCGGGGCAGCCCGCCTCTCAGCCACTGGGACTGCCGACTGGGTGAGGGCTGCCCGCCTCTGTCACCGGGGCTGGGTGAAGGCTGGGACAGTCCGCCTCCCAGTCACTGGGGCTGGGCGATGGCGGCAGCCGGCTCCGGCTCCGGCTCCGGCCCCGTCTGCCGTCTGCCGTGTCCGCGAGGGCCGCCCGGTGCCAGGTGGCAGCGGATCGGGGTGACCGGGTTCACCAGAGCGGCGGGCACCGCTAGACGGACCGCGCGGCGCCAACTGCGCACAGCGCAGGCGGGCCGGCGCGGCGGCCGGCGGCGACAACAGCGGCGGCCGCGGACAGGTCGGTCTACAGTTACATCCGGCGGCCCGGAGACCGTCACCGGTCACACGACGAATTTTACCACTCCCAATCTTACTGAGTGTCGTTAATAGAGGCGAGACTGACGCTAGGTGACGGCAGCCCAGTATATCGGCCCAGTCCCGTACCGTCGGACGCCGGATGCTCAGTAGGTATACGGCGGGGAACAGTATCGGCCCAGTCCCGTACCGTCAGACGCCGGATGCTCCGAGGTATACAGCGGGGACCAGTAGGTATATCAGCCCAGTCCCGTACCGTCGGACGCCGGATGCTCAGTAGGTATACAGAGGGGACCAGTATCGGCCCAGTCCCGTATCGTCAGACGCTGGCTGCCCAGACCACACCGGCAGCCGCTGGACACAGGAGCCGGCCGGAGCCCCTGGTTGGGTCACTGTGGGGTCACAGGGCTTCCTGGACTGCCGATATACATACACCTACACAGGAGCCGCCCGGAGCGCCCGGTGAGCTAACTGCGGGGTCACAGACTCACAGCCACAGGGCTCCCTGGCACGGCACCCGCCGCTGACCAGAGGGGCGCCAGCCGGGCGTGTTTACCTCCGAGTATTTCCAGCAGAGTCGGACACGACGCGGCTCCAGGTGCATCGATTGTCCCGTCCGTCCGCGGGGCCGGTGCCAGGCCAAACAGGCCCCATCGGACGAGTCGACCGGGACGGCCGAGCTCGGTCAAAGGACGCGGCTCGGCCGGCCCGGACGGCGGGCAGCCCGCACAGGCTGAACGGCGGACAGCGGGCATACACCGGACAGTCGACAGCCGGCCGGACAGCCCGGAGCCCCGGACGGCGGACAGCGGCCGCGGCGGACAGCCAGTGC